ATGTGGGTTATCATAATTTGAGTTATAAGTACAATTTGGAATGGAATAACCTTAATAGTGTTATGAAGGAAAGGGATCTTGGTGTAATAGTCGATCAGTTTCTAAAACCATCCAAGCTGTTGCTAGTGGTAGGGCAAATAGGATTTTAGGTTGTATCTACAGAAATATTGAATAGAAGTCTGTAGAGGTTATAATTTCATTATACAGGTCACTGGTTAGGCCACATTTATAATATTGTGTTCAGTCTTGGACTCCTTACCTTAGGAAGGACATTGAATTGTTGGAAAGTGATCAGAGAAGGGTTACTAGAATGGTGCCTGGGATGGAGGGGTTGTCATATGAATAGAGGCTTAAATCTCTCAAATTGTTTTCTCTTGAAAAGAAGAAGAGTTAAGGGGGGATCTGATTGAGGTGTTTAAGATTGCAAAGGAAAATGATAGTGTTGATGCATCATCATTTTTCATATTTAACAGTGAGAATAGTAGGACTAGGGGACACAAATATATGTTTTGGCAAGGTAGGAGTCATCTTCAGCTAAGACAGTTTCATTTTTCTTACAGAGTGGTTGGTCTTTGGAATGGGTTGCCTTTAGATGTTGTAGAGGCAGTAAATTTAAGTGAGTTTAAGAAAAAGCTTGATAAGTATATGAATAATAAGGGCTGGCTTTAAGATTTTTTAAAAATTACTGTAATTTAGTTTAAAGATGGAACAGCCGAGATGGACCAATAGGTCCCATTGTCCCAAAACATTATGTTATGTTAAAATTTTATTGAACTCCTATTTTATGAATGTATTTGGATAAGTTTAGTGTCAAATTGTTAATTTCTTAATTTAAAAGTAAATATTTAACAAATTCCTAAATATCAATTTTTATGTGTCATGTGGTATTTTGAATGCAGCATTGGTTCAAATTAGATCATTGTTATGTCCAAATACAAAGTTTATAGTTTCTTACAAATTAGGAACTCATATTACTGATATTGACAAGCGAGAATATAAAATAAGAACCTCCTATCTTTTCTACTTGCTGAGATATTGCTACATATACTGAATCAAACATGGTGACCCTGTCCTCTTCTGTCCATTTTGCAAAGACTTGATTATATACACCTACTTCTGTCTATGACATATGAATAACCAATCAAAAGCTCAGAATGACCCTCTAGTGGCTTTCTCAACCTTTTTTTAAATATTTGGGCAGCCAATTCTCCTTTAGTTGGTAGATTTCAAATGGTAAGTTATTGCTTTAGTGAGCTCAAAATTATATATTTTTTCAAACCAAAATAAAGCTTAGTTACAAAGCTTGATAAATGATAGTAGAATTCTGTGGTATTGAGGTAGTAATTTATATATTTTTTTTAAATATATGTATAAAACTTTAAAAAAATTGTTTTGTTTCACATCTTCCACCTGCAAAATTTGATAAGGCTTAGCAACCTATGGCAAGCAGCAAACTAGTTCAAAGTACATAACTAGAAGAGTTAATTGTTTTTTATAATTCTTTATTTACTGTTTTAAGAAAACCTATTTTTAAGAAAAATAACTGAAATTTAAGAACTTATTTTGAATAGTAATAATCTATATACATATATAACGTATTATAACTGAAATGTGACTGTATTTTACAAAATACTAGACCACTAAAACACAATCAAGACAGGTCACTTTGTAAAGGCCAGTTTTATATTCTGGGATAATGTAACATAAGTGCATGTGTGCCACGTCATTGCAACTTCTATAATGTTGGCCAGGCATGGCTGAAAGGTCAATATAATAAAAATAATAAATATCTATAAATGTATAATGTTATGAAGGTTAAGCTATTTAAACTAAACATTTGTGTTTTCGTGTTATAATCTGTAGCCATTCTAGAATGAAAAAAGCATAATTTATATTTATTTTCTAATTTTTTATGGTGGTTATGAGGTCGGTCAAATCGAACCAGCTCATACATAAATACAGTAGTGAAAATAACAGGTAAAATATGTTTTATTCTAAAAAATTTGATAATTATCTGGAAGTTATAAAGATTTCATATGTGAAATTTGAAAATTTTCTGATGCATAAAAGTATTTTTAATCTTAAAATGAAAATTACTTTGCATATTGGATAGTCAACATTCTGAATGAAAACATTTTATGAGGAAATCTTTAATAAATAAAATCATAATACTTAATTTAAAAACCTGATATTTTGTATATGAAAGCATTGTAATGTTTACCAGTAATCTGCAAAAGTTTGTAAAGATATGCATACATTATCAAAAATCATAGTGTAATTACTTTCATGAATACTATCGTGGTTACGAGCAGGGTGGATCCCACCCAGTTCATAATGGAAGATTGATAGTAATGCCTTTTCATTTTCAATTATCTTATAACACTAAATATTAACATCCAGTCCTCTGTGTTGCTGTTATTTCAAAGATGCAGTGTGTATACTTATATTTAAGCTTTTCTTTACAGTGGTTTCTGTTGACAATATTATTTCACTTATGCCTCATGATTTATTGTATATTCCATTATATTGTTACTGTTTAAGTCTGTTCTTTCTAAACTTATGATTGTTTAAAAACTACTCTCTTAATAGCTAATGTTGTTTTTGTAGCTAGAATATTGAGAACTAACTTTTTTTGAGGTTTTAACACTGCTGATGGAACTTGAAGCAATATCAAAATGTCCATCATTAAATATGTATTTTGGTATTACCATGTTTTTAATATTTATCATAAAATAATTGTTATATTAACTTATCCATTTCCTGTTTTTTTGTTTCGTCTTTGTAGAGTTATAATGAAATATATTGTTGTGTCACAGTTCAGGTATTCCTTGGGAATATGGGGAAGATACCATATTTCCGTACTAGGAATGAAGCCCATCTTCTCACCAATGAAGAAAAGGAAGCCAGAAGAATTGGTGAGACACTTGTTTTGCAGTTGTTTTTTTTTACATTGGGTGGTCTAGTCATATAAAGAATTCTAGATTTAAAAAATCTATTACTTAGTACTTTTCTTCTACTCTTTTTTTTTGTCATTTCAGTTTTCTCTATAAACTATGAAATCAATCAAGCTATTTATTTGTCAAACATTTTAACTTTCGCAACCAATCAGGAGCAGATAATGAACCTACAAAACACTGCAAGAGTCAGAAATCTCTTGCTAATAATACACACAGTGAGGCTTCCTTATGCTAACAATATAATTTCATGCACAATGTACATTAGGCTGGTGGCTGAGCTATTTACATGGATGGGTTGGTTTACCATCTGATAAACTCAGATGTACAATAAATTTGTTTGTTTGTTTTGAATTTTCGTACAAAGCTACACGAGGGCTATCTGTGCTAGCCATCCCTAATTTAGCAGTGTAAGACTAGAGGGAAGGCAGCTAGTCATCACCACCCACTGCTATCTTTTGGGCTACTCTTTTGCCAATGAATAGTGGGATTGACCATCACATTATAATGCCCCCACGCTGAAAGGGTGAGCACATTTGATAGACCGGGGATTCGAACCCATGACCTGCAAATTGCAAATCGAGCTCCCTAACCACCTAGCCATGCCGGAACAGTGTACAATTAATACTAGTTTAGTATCATATAACAAAACAGAATGTAAAGAGATCTGCCTTAACTTCATAATACTTACACAAGTGCTTTGAGGCTAATGCTCTACCATTTCTTGATCTTGGTTCTGGATTCCTACTTGTTATATATGAATTTCATAACAATGTCCTGACCCAAAATTAAAAATCTAATAGAAAAAAATGACATTTTATATGGACTGTCAGCTGTTTGACTGACTGACTCTGAAGGAAAAAATCTTCTCCAAGGGAACCTAAAGTTTCAATGTTATGGAAAAGTTTTTAACTCTTACAACAGATAAGTAAACATGAACTTGAGATGAGAATAGCAGTATCTTGACAAAAGTTAAAGGCAAGAATACAATCATAACCCAGCCAACAGATTTTATGTAATAAATACGTGGTTTGGTAGTGATTCAGTAGTTAATTTATGTAACTTTTACATAAAAGTATGGACTACCAGAGACGTTGTTACTACATAGTAATATTATGTAATGGATTTACCAATATACAACCAGTCTGGTATGTTAAAAAACCAACATGGTACATTTCTATTACCATTCTACTACGTTGTAACTACCTATCTAGCAAGCATTGGTTTCTACTTTTTCCTTCAGTTCCCCCCAGAATACTTTCTATATATTCATTTGCAAAAATAAGCGATAAGTAATATAATTTATTCAATATCATTGATACAACATTACAAATTAAAAAACAAATTATACCTTTTTTTGATACATTATAAGTTACAAAAACATATTATACATTTTTGATACCTTATATATATATTACAAAAACAAATTATAAATTATTTTAATGCATTACAAATTACAAAAAGAAATTACACATTTTTTTATACAACATTATATATATTACAAAAACAAATTATACATTTTTTTTATACATTAAAATTTATAAAAACATATACATTTTTGGATACAACATTATAAATTACAAAAACAAATATTATACATTTTTGAATACAACATTATAATTTACAAAAACAAATATATATTTTTTGATACAACATTAGAAATTTGAAAAACTTTTTTTTCTGATACAACATTACAAATTTCAAAAAAATTTTTTTTGATACAACCTTACAAATTACAAAAACAAATTATACATTTTTTTCATGTCTATAATTCTAACATAGTCTCTATTCTTAATCAGACAGTACTGCTGTGGGAGTTGGTGATTTCAGAGCAGCTTGTGCCTGTAAATATAAAAGACCAATTCAATTTGATAGACCAGTACAGCTATCAATAAAATTACAAATCAAAAGGTCTGAGATTATTATTTTTGTCTTTCTGCCAAGGACCATAATATTATTATATGACAAAACAATGTTGATTAAATTAATCGTTATAAACAACTGCTATACGAATAAAGTTGCACTTAAGTTTATGCCAAAAATGAATATTTTGTTTCTTGCAATATGAAGCTCAGACAAAGTTGGTACATGTCTTAGCAGCAATATCATTGTATTCTATATTTTACTTTTGTCTTGAATGCATTTCAAATTTGGCTATATTATATTCTGTATATTTTAATAGCTATATTTTATTGTGTATATTAGTTAACAGTTTTGACCAATACAATTGCATATATTTTCAATATATTTACCAGGACCAGGTATCCACCACACTTGCTCATTGCATGCTTAAGAGTTTCTGCCATCTGCAACTCAGCCTTGGCATACTGCTGTTGCGTCAGCGAGTCACATGACCACTGTGACGCCACGTTTCTAGAACTATCCTGTACTTTGGTGAATGCTCTAGTAATTACTAGATATAGGGTAGGCTGGTATATAAAAGAGGGGAAGGTAATGTGTGTATAGACAGTGAGTAATTGATCTGCAGTCAGAAGTATTATTGAGCACGTTCGTTGTTATAGCGTTTGTATAGCGCGATTGTTGAAGTT